CAAACACACATTAAAAACTCCGCAGAATCCCATGTTTGGATGACAGATACAACAAACCACAGCACAACCGGTTGTAGTTCATCAGCTACACTGAAATGCTGGAGCGGCGGCTAGCGGGCCAGATTACAGCAACCAGCAGTGGCAAACTTTGATCCTGGCACTTAAAGTTCACACATAACCTAAATGGAAAGCTGGCCTACAGTAGGAATGTTTTTCTGATCTATGGTCTTTGGATCAGCCAGAAGAAATTAATCCATATTCTATGGAAAGTTACTGAAGAGTTCAAAGTCAAATGCCTTGGCTCTGAACATGCGTCGTTTTGTGTTTTATACTTTTTTGCTGGCATTAGCCAGACAGTTTCTTTAAATGAACCATTTTTACTTATTTAGGAAATGTACAACTCAATTTTCACTGTAATAATTTCAAAGCTGGAATAGAAGAAATTAAAATAAAGAAAGCATCTGATTGTTAAATATTATGCAAAATAGCTGGAACAGTAATTCATCTATAACTGTTACTGACATACCAACAAATATTCAAAATCTAGGATTAAAAGAAAATCTTCAGGTGATAATAAAAACCGGGAATATCGTAAATGAAAATGAAGTGTTGTCAAATGGGCATCACCATGTTATTGTTCAGGGCACTTACATAAAGAAAATGACAGCAGGTCCAAAATCCAAAAACTGCATGGAATTAGGTGAGTATTTTTCATACTGGACAACTTTCAGATGTGTGGACTTTGTCTCCCAGAATTCCCAGGCCAGCATACCGGCCACAATATTCTGGGACTGGAAATTCATACATCTGAAAATTGCTTGGTTTGAAAACACTGAATTAGATTGTTGTCTGTGTGATTTTTCCATATACAGGACTAAAGGGTAAATCTGCATCTAATTTCCAAAAAAATACTGAGGCACATAATTTGTGAGGTCATCTAAAGATTGATCAATTCAAATGTACGTTAGCTGGGAGAATATTTCACTGTTTTTCATATCCTAAATTGGTAGTAATCATAGCTAACCATGAATTCAAACAAACATCTGGAACAAAATTAACTTTAGGAATTAAAGTGGACCATGATGTATTGGCATGAAATCTCAGAAATTCTGCTAATTCATAGGGCCATTTCCTTGATCTCCAAGTGTGAGATCATGTTAACAAGGAAGACAACTGAGTACAAGAGTCACACAGCAGATAAACTAATGAATTAAGGTTATAAATGTTCCCAGCACTAGAGAAAAGTTGCACATGGCCAAGCATGGGAATACCATTTGCCTCTTGATGATGTTGTATGTTGACTCAAAGGCTTATGAGAGACTTGGAAATTTTTCAAAAGGATTTATGTCCTCCATGACCTTGAAAAACTGGGACCGTGTCTGCTTTAAAAGTTCAGCGGTAGGGATAGAAATATTTACAAGTGGTATATAAAACCCACATAGCAATTCCATTGCTAGTTTAACTGTATCCTGTATTTATTTCTGAAAAACTAGATTTGCATCCTAAATACATTTCCATGAATAAAACAGATTGGGAAGGAACTATACCTGGAGATAACTTGCAAAAACGAGTTATCAATTTACAGTATATAAATAGTAGAGCAACTTTGATTTCATCACAGTATCCAGTGATGGAGTGACCTATCTAGGTCACTATCCAGTCTTTCTTAGGCAATTCTGATTCCAGTCTAAACCTAGCATCAAAATAACAAACCTCTCAGAAAGGGGTATCCTGGAAATTAAAAATATTCATTTATTATTGCTTCATTCATTATTGCTCAGGGTCTGTTTCTTTTTCTACTGATCTAATAACCTCAGTAAAACATGAAATAAAACACATCTGCTTTGCCTCTTGGAAAATATGGCTCCATCTGAGAAACCTCTTGTCATAGCTGACCTCCTGTCCAGGCCTTCTTCTGCTGTATGAACACACACAGAAAATAGGTGAAGGAAACAAGAAAAGTAGTAGGACATTAATTTGCTCAGGAGGACTAAACTTTACATATCTGAGCAGGAACAATATAATTGCATCATCCCTCCTCCAATGCTTTGCTTTACTGAGGCTATTCCACTTGGATGCATGAAAATAGAATTTGCCAACAAATTCTTTTTTTCAGTACTCCTCCAACCCTCTCCTTGCCACCTATGAAGCAGAGTAAGAATTTCACATTATGATCAAGCCGCTAGAGAAGACAACTACTGTATTTAGAAATGAACAAAAATATCTAACACAGACATACAGTACAGGGCTGCATAGCAATTTGAATGCAAAAGGAAGGCAGTTGTGGGAGGCCAGGAGAAGATGCAGCTGCTTTCAGATGATTCTGACAAGGTCTACGGACACACCCACAGATGCTATGAACCACAGTTTTACAGTCTTCAAATCTGGTTCTTGGCACTACCTTATTGTTTAGTTAGTTGATGTCTTCCCGACAAGTAACACCTATCCAAAGCTCTTTTTTTTCCTTGCAAAAATTACCACAAAGAAAACTTCTGTTCATCCATCACATACCTCTGAGACTTCCAACAACAGCCACCAAATGTAGCAATTCCAAAAGCACATGAGATTCCCCACACGCCCCCATTGCTATAAGCATTTTATAATCTAATAATACAAGAGGAAAAATGACTCCAAAGTTGTATATAGCTGACTGGAATTCAGACATCTGTTCTGATTAAAAAGCTTCCTGAGTGAGGTCCTCCATTTCACTATAAATATTTAGCTTTTAACTCAATTAAAACAATATAAGACAGGTTTTATTCTCTACAACCTGCAACTGGGATTGATGTGCTAGCTTTTTCTGGGGTTGCCTTAGAATGAGAACCAATTTTTTACAGCACCATCTACTATTCATATCACCCCCTCTGTAAACAAACTCAGGCAGAGTGGCAGTAGTAAGAAGAGTTTACTCTCAAAACAGAATGGAAACAAGAGTACGGTAGTAGCAAAATCTTAAGAAATGAACAGCAGAAAGAATCTCCTTTTCCAACATCATTAACGTCTTGAGCAATTGTTGACTGGAACAAGTCCCTTAAATCACCACCTGGTACTGTTTTCAGCAGTTGGTCTTCCTTCCAAGACTGTCATGGCTCATTTAGATAGCATAGCACATTTTTTCTAAAGGATTATTCTCAGGGATCTTGGAATTTAAAACATAATGAAATACATTCATGTTAAAAAAAGTATCTCTATAACATAACTGCTAGTCACATTTTTTAGAATTTGTTTTTTGTTGACCACACATGGAACAAACAGCGTATTAAATGGAGAGTATAAAGTACGCGGAATATTAAAACAAGCTGCACTAATCTCAGATGCTGAGAAAATTATGGACAATTTGAATTGGCAATTTCTCTTTGAAGCACTGAAAAATATGGACTTTGATAAGAATTTTATTCAAGGAATCATATAATTATCTACCTACCTACTGTTCTATTCTATTCTATTCTATTCTATTCTATTCTATTCTATTCTATCCTATCCTATCCTATCCTATCCTATCCTATCTATCTAAAATGGTGTTTAATGGTGATTTGACTAAACCCTGTGATTTCCAGAAGGGGACAGGATAAGGTTATCTGGATAAGTGGATCTAAAAATTAAAAATTAGACATTGAAATTTAGAGCCTTTGTTGATGATTTGGATTTGATTTTACAAGACCCTCTGATACAGATTGAGTCTTAGATGAAAAAAAATTGAAAGATTTTGCGCACAAACAAGTTTTAAGATTAATAAACGTAAAGCAAAGATGTTGGTAAAAATGACTATACAAGATCAAGACAATCTGATGAAAACAAAAATAGTTTTAAAGTAAAAAGAAGTTAAATGTTTGGGTGTTATTTGACTAATTTGAATTGTATAGTGTTTCAAAATAACTACGTTATGGTATGAAGTTAAAAAAATACATTTAGATGGGAAAAATGCAATTGTGATTTTTTAAAGATATCCCATTTGTATCCCATTCTATCTTCTCCCCATATTATTTAATATCTATGTAAAACTAATGGAGTTTGATTTAAGATTTCGAATGGGTATTATCAGTATCCTGACCACCTTATGGTTGAGTCAGCCTTCTATACGTCCGAGATTGGTAAAATGAGGGCTGTATGCTGATGTAAATCACTCAGAGAGTGCTGTAAAGCATTGTAGAGTGGTATACAAATCTCCATACCATGATACCCAACTCTATTGTTCCTTACCAGCTAATTCCAAGGGTGTGAACAGCATCCCTGACTAATTCATTATGTTTAAAAATAATCTGTATGAGAATGAACATGCAGAAATTTAATCCAGGCAAGAGAGATGCCATTGATAAATAGGAAATTGGACAATGATATTTGAATGAACCAAAGATTAAGACTATTAAGAGTTAAAGGAAGGGATATAAAGGTGGTTTATTTGGTTAAAGTTAAAACAAGATATCTTACTTCTGGAAAACCTGAATGGGACTTCTGCTAACCCAGAAGACTAAAAAGAAGATGATTTATGGATTTGTTTATAGATGACAGTTGGCATATTGGGATGAAGAAATAAATAATTGCAATCTTAGAGGCAGTGAAGATTGCTACATTTGTTTATACTTATGATGAACATTGGAAGTCACTTCTTTATATATTTATTTTCTCTTTCATTGTATTCCTTTTTCTTTTCCTTTTTATTCTTTCCATTCTTTTTTGTTTTACTATTATCATTTCTCCATAAAAACTATGTATATAAACTCTACACACACACACACAAAACCTATTGTAATTTCAAATTTCAGATAAGGACTAATTCAAATAAAGCTGTCTTACGTATAAGAATACATGTGGTGCCAGGAGGAAAAAATATATATACTTCTATCAGGATATCTTCTATTTTTATACATAACTCCACTTATAAAAAATTGTCATTACAATTGAAATCAAGAGATATTTAAGTAAGTTTTTTATCAACAACATTAACCAATCATCCTTAAAGGAAAAGTCAGAATGAAATATTAAGAGAAACAAAGGCATACTTCATCTCTAGCACCTCCTCCAAATGCTTCCTCCGTTCAGCCCGCAAGTTAGTTAAATGGGTTTCCTTTTCAGCCAGAGACTGCTGAGTAGAGGACAGCTTTGCTTTCATAGATTCCAGTTCTTGTTTTACTTTCTCCATAGCCATCATCAACTCTTCTACCTAAGGAATTGAAGAATGATAAAGAGGAAGAAGAGAGAAAATATGTGATTATGAAACAATATCTGCCATTCACCAGAGTTATAGCATGATGGAACAAAAATATTGCAAATGGTCAATTTATCCCTGTTGAAATAACATGGTTAGTCTAAAATAACATATGTTGATACTATTATAAATTACAGGCAGCACTTCTTTATTACACGTATGTCTATTCACTATTGGGTTTTAATTTGTAATCACTGATAATAAATCTTTTATGCCCTATCTTCATTAAAATGTAGAGAAAAGTTACATTACAAAATTTTAATTACAAAGCCAATATTCTTAGTTTCAGCAAAACTGTACTAACTCATTCTCAAATACATTAAAGTAACTCTCCTATGCATATTCAGAAGATTTGAATAGCTCTTTCTCGCTCAAAGCAAAAATATGAAGTGAAGGTTGAATTGAAAAGTTTTATATTTATGCTGGAACTCTATTCCATTTTGCTTATCTCTATGGTTTGATTAAAGGCAGTGGACGGAGCCACCTTATTTATCTATCAGTTCTTGAACCATCTTGGACCTCGCTGGACCATCGACAGAATATCTGATACAGTTCAAAATAAATTGCAAGGAAGAGTAGATTGCTAAAGGAGAAAAATACCAGGAAAAGTTAGGCTGAAGAAATCAGAAACAGGACAAAATCTAAATCTAAAACCAGTAAAAGAAAGGTAGACGTGGAAGATGTTTTACTCAGAGACAAATTTATTTGTCAAGCCTCTCCCTAAAGCCGGATGATTTCAGTAGGATAGAACCACAGACACCCCTGAAGTCTTCCTCGTTAATGTAACATTGCAGACAGCAACGTGAAACAACAGTTCTGGTGAAATACTGGGAAAGATTGGGAAAGGCAAAGATGGGATGAAGGAAGAACCACTACTGCAGCACACTCAAGCAGTCTTGTCTGTCTACACCCTCACTTTCCTGGCAAATAAATAAAAGGAAGATCATCCATGGAAAAAACCTCACAAGATTATCACAAGTCGATAGAAAAGATGAATTAAATTTTATCTGCAGGCCAAAAATGTATAATTGTATTGCCAAATTATGTTGCTAGCTGCAACAATATGTCACTAGTGGAATAGCAATAGCACTTAAGATTTATATACCTCTTCATAGTGCTTTACAGCCCTGTCTAAGCAGTTTATAGAGTCAGTTATTGCTCCCAACAATCTGGATTTTCATTTTACCCAACTCGGAAGGATGGAAGGCTGAGTCAACCTTGAGCCGTTGAGAATGGAACTATAATTATAACTATAATACAACTGAAAATATAATTCATCCAAGTCAAATCTCTCTTCTTTAAAATTGTTGAACATATTTTCCCCATAAAATTGCTAACAGTTCTATGAGCAACTAAGATTTGCAAACCTCAAAACCCAATGCTAACTATCTGTTTTCTCTTCTGGCCAGCTCCCAAACTTTAACATAGAGTAGACAAACCTCAGTTTCAGATTATGGCAATTATTCAACACTCAGAAGCAGAGCATGTTGAAATATTATCTCTCAGACGATAAAGCATTTGTTAACAGTGGAAGTAGAAGATGTTTATGCATTGATTTAAAAAGGAAAACCACAGATATTGGGGCATCCAACAAATACATGAATCTATAGGACACCAAGTTACCAACACTTCATGGTAGCAATGAAGAAATGAGATTCTTTTAGCATAACTGACAAAGAAATTCCCAAACACTCTCTTCCATATGATTAAATTTATGAATCATCTAATATAATTCCTTCAGAATAATTAGTGTATCTGGATATATTCAAAAATCCATGCTTCTTGATTTAAGATCCAAGTGTTAAAACTCTTTTTAGTAAAAATGGACTACTAAAGACACAGAAACTGAGAATATTCTGAAATACTGTATTATCAAATTGTATTCCTTTGGATCTACATAAAATATACTGTTACATGTTTTAAGTTGTAATATCAGTTATGTGTTTTAAGATCAATCATTACCTGCTTCCAGATATGCAGTAGAAGTCATATGGACAGAACTAACAATGCAAATCCATAAATAGCCAACAATTTTTTTAGATAGACTAAGGACTCATATGAAAAAATATGCTATTCTGATGTATAAATATCTGGAAAAGTTGAAGAAAGCTTTTTATTATGAAAACATTTTTGAGAGTGGAAGATGATGCTCATTTTCAATGTACATTTCATTGTTTGGAAACAGATTGTTTGACTTGGCTACTGAGACTAATCTTCAGGGTCTACAGAGTAAATGTGATATTTATTGCAACCTCAACAGATACATTTCCTAATTTCTTACAGTTTTATTTAAGAAGAGACATGCTATAATAGCCTTGGGAGACAGGAAGAAAAGCCGCAGCCAAGTCTGACAAGAGATATCTCAGCTTGCAGAAGGAATGGTGGTGAAGAAAGCATCTCAGAAGAGACCTTCCCTAGTTCTCTGGAAAGGAAAGACAGGAAAGGAAAAAAGTGCTTTCAGACTTCCAAGATTATATTACTGTAATCCTACAAGAAAGGTAGAATTAGTAGTACTCATGGTTTTGGTTTCTTTTCTGAACTATCTCAAAGGGCTCACCAAGAGAGAATTCGATTCTCCATGTGCAGAACATATGCACTCAATGTGATCTTCCAAATAGCATAATATGGTGGCAAAGCTATGGTATGAATTATGGAAAAAAATACCTTAAAATTTTTGCTCACTGAAAAAAAAAGAAACCATTCTTCAAATCTATCTACCTTTCCAGACCCAAAGAGAAGAAATAGCTGTTGCAGCTTGTTAGGCAATGGAAAAAAAAGAAGGAATTAAAAAAAATGAAAAAGGCAATAAATTGGTACCAAATACTACAACCAATAAGGTTTCCATCTCTCCCTGCGTCTGGGCCTCTACTTAAATGAAACTGTCTAACTAAAGCAGCTGCTTGATTTAACTCGTAACATTGAAACGTTTACTTAAATAAAAGTAATTCCTCTATGCAAAGTCAGAAACTTGATATGAAGGTGATATCTGGATTTATGGGTTTGTTGGTAAGCTGAAAGGCTGTTGTACAACTTCAAAAGATTTTCTATTCTTAATTTGCACTAGTCCTTCAAAGTAAAACTTGATTTAGAGAACCAAATCAATATAATAATGTCAGCAAAAAAAAACAACAGCCTAAAACACCAAGAACACCCCCCCAAAAGCAGCAGAACACATCCCAAAACCTAATTCCAGTCCCACTGCCTGCCTAATTTGTTGGAATATATATGAAGAATGCTCTAGATGTCTCTGTTCACTTCCTGTTCTTTACTGGATTCTTCTCAAGAGAATTCACCCATGTCTGAGCCACTAGACTCCTCTTTTGCATCAGATGATTAATTTACATATGAATGATAATTTGATAACATCGCTTGAGTTTACTCAGTGCTATAGTACACTGTGGACAGAGGAAACATATGTAATAGATTAATCTATGGGAGTACTTTGGTTAGATAAACTTCAGGACAGAGTTATATCAGAAGATAATTTTTAAAAAATATCTATGAACAAAATTTAGATAGAAATGTGATGAAAAGGTCAACAGGATTTAAACACTGAATGAAATAGTGAAGATAGACAATTTGAAGACAATTTTTTTAAACAGCTAATTTTACATTATGGCTTATTCAAAATAAAGTTGTTAGAAGAATCTTAAATATAAAAACTAGTCTTTGATGCAAAAGTCATGAAAAATGTTGCAGTTGTTTGTTTATGTTATTCCTGATGTATTGTCAGCCATATCAATATGAATGTGCTGTCAAGAGCTTTTTAAAGAAGCACAGCATGGAGAAGGGAAAGCTGAAGAGTTGTAAGTTTGCTAGAGTCTTTTGCAGACAAGGTCTCCATTTTTCCAAAAATGCAAAGAAGATGGGGTCTCACGTCTTAGGGCTATATTTATAGGAAAGACTCCTAAAATTGAACACACATCAACATTCAGAAATGTTATTTTGTGTCTCTTTTCTAGTCCTCTATGGCAAAAATTCTCATGTAAAACAACAAGAAAACAAATAAGGTACTGATGACAAATAATCATGTTTAAAGAAAATGTTTTTCAGGAGCTTCTAGGAAAGGTATGGCAAACTGAAGACGGTACCATGAAAGCAGGGCCAATGACTGAAGCAGAGATCAAGGAACCAGTGAGAAGACCAGTTCCTTGGAACTTCTCCACCTGAAGACGATGGGGGAGATCATTCACATGTGCTCTGGACAGCTGAGGATTTTGTGGGACAAAGGTTTCTGTAGGGTTGAGCCCTGAGACAGGATGGGATTAGTTTTTGCCCCCCCCCCCAGATATTGTAAGTAGATAAATGGGTACCACTTTGGCAGGAAAAGACCTAGCTGCATTCGTGTGTATAATGTACATGCACAGATATGTGCCTGAGTACACACAAAAACATACACACTATTTTACAGTGGTCATCTCTAAGAACATTATGATATACCAATTCATGTCTATTTCATCTTACACATTCAATACAAATGCCCATGGTATTGTTCTGAATTGTCTATACAGGCTGGGAACTGGAAATACTGCTTTGTAGAGTTGCTTTTGGAATGAAGATATGTTGCTTTTGAAATGAAGATATCTGCTTAGTATTATTGGGGAAGGAAATATCAAACCAATTCCTTCATGGGTATTCATTCTCTTCTATCTTATTTAACAACTACATGAAATTACCGGGAGAGGTCAACTGTTGGTTTGGCTTCGTTAACGTTAGTATGCTTCAATAACACCAATATGCCAATGATTCCTAGCTTTACATCATGTCTCCAGGCCAAAGAAGCAATGAGCAGGAAGTCCTGACCAGTGCTTGGAAACTGTGAGGGATTAGGTGAAATAAAACAGACAGTATTTGAATTCAAGCAAGATGGCTCTCATTAGTACAGAAACTCTCTAGTTCCATAGAAATTCCATCAATACTTCTTGATGGGACCGAACTTATCCAGAAAGAGCCAGTGGGTGATCTAGGATATTTCTTGGACCTATGACTCCTGCTAGAGCAGCAGGTTAAAGTCACAGCAAGCAAAACCTTCAGCTACACAAAGGGATATCTAATGGGGCTACTTTCAAAGATGACCTGAAAACTGCAGCTGGCCCAAGACACAGCTGCTAGCTAGGGAAGTTGCTGACCTCATCCTTTTTGGATTACAGTTTCATTTCGGGGGTGAGGGGTGAAGTGGGGGAGTCAAGATTAAAGCAAAAAATCTCATTTGTTCTTTGAATACAATATTCTATTTATGTGGAAAAACGTTCTTTGTGAGATTTATTTTGATAGCTGATAGCTATAGTTTGGGGGGGGGGGGGAAATCAAACAACGTATTTATGAAAGGGACCTGACCTCATAACCATTCTTAACATCTACTGTGTTCTTGGGTCTACTGTGGTTTCAGTCTTTACTGCAGCAAAGAGAAAAGGTTCGGATTCCATCTTTTTGAAACAATTGCCTGACTCTCTGCATCTTCCTTCCTTTCTCCCCGCCTCTCCCTTCTTCATTTGTCATACTAGCTGTGCCTGTCATATTTTTCACTTTATTTATTTGGTTCATTCTTTCTACCTTACAGTCTTATACATTGGAATGGTCAATCTGGCAGCTTTTAAATATTTTGGACAATAACATCTTTAAAGAAAGACCATGCTGTTAGCCATTTATAAAAGTTGCTGTCCAACAGTCCTCAAGAACAATCTATTAACAAATTCTTAGAACAAAGCTGATTCTGTCTGCTACTTACATAGTGAGATGTGATAGCATTACTGAGAAAGCTTATTATCAGGCCTAAAATTTATATATGGGGAAAAAAATTAAGTATATGTCACATTATTTAATATATTTCCTTTACTTGTGTTACCCAAGTTAACCTGAAATATCGATACCAGTTGACCATAAGCATGCAAACCTGTTTTTCAGCTTGTGTCCTGGCTGATTCTTCTTGAGCTAATACCATTTCCCGTTCTGCAGTTATTTGTACACTCTCTCTCAGTGCTTCTTCTAGCTCCTCAATTCGATCATCCTTCTTATGCAAACTATCCTGGAAAATGACAGGACACCAGATGAAGTAGCTTCTAGAGCAAATAGGTCAAGTGCTAGGTTACCCACAAGGGAGTTTCCAGCAATGGAATTCCACAAAATTAAGTTTTCATACAGAAGAAAAATCACAGATGTAAGGTGAAGGAAGAGCTGGAGTAAATCCATAGCCAAGACAAAAGTTAGCAAACTGAGGTGAGCAATAGCAGTGCAGTTAGTGTTAAGATAGCTAGAGACTTTTGGGTATTTTTTTGTGTGCAAAAGCACATCTTCACGTGCAATTCAGGTTAGTAGGCAGAAGATGTAGACGTACAGTAAGCATTACCCTTTCTTCACAGGTACCCTCAACCTGACAGTTCAAAAGAAAGAAACCAGAAGAAGATGCAGTGGGATGTAGTAAATGACTTAAGAAAAACTGTCTTAAAAAAACAACTGAGATCTCTCAACCTCCTTTCATATAAAGATAATTGATCCAGTTGAAAAAATCACGTGAAAAACTGAAGACAAAGGAATAAGATAAATTGCATTTGAAAAATCCTGTACTATATGATTAGGAACATAATCTTCTCATAATAAAACACATGTTTACAGATCAACATGCTACATTAAATATTCATTTAATGCCTGAAAATATAACCAACTAGAGATGATTAATCAAATTTGAAAACTTGAAATGCATTATAGCAAATGTTGGATCATTTTCTGTTTCTGAAATTGTAAACAAGAAACAGTTGCCTTTCCTAGCTGTTATACCTTCCTTATGCTGGTCTATGATTGTAATAAAGACTTGATTTGCTGTTATGATAAAATGATCATCTACCAAGTGCTTTGGATTCTGCCAATTATATGACAGGACAATTCCATAACTGTAGAATCCTACATAGCATTGTAATTACCATGAATGGTATTTATATCAGGGCTGCCAGGCTTTTCTGAATGAAAGATGCCTACAGTATGTCTATAAGAGTGATATTGTTAGTTGTGTGAAATATACATGCTCAAAACAGTATTAAGATAGGAAAACACTTCATGGAAAAGAGTGGAGCAATCAAGCCATGATTTTAATTAAAAGGAAATGGAAAATGATGGGAGGTCAAATCTGAATTCCTGACCATTTTTGCAAATTAAAGCCTCGTACTAGTTTCTAAATTCTATTAACAGAAAATAATAAAAATGTTATTACCTTTGAGAAACTAGCTGGCAAAAATATACATATTAACACAAAATTCAATATAAAAAATCCAAACATTAGAAGAAATGCATTCCTATATATAATTATTTGGTTTTTTTTTAAAATGGGAAACAAGTAAGAAAGTAGAATACAGTGAAAAAGTGAAACCAAAGTAGAAAGATTTGTTCATTTCCTTGTTACTACTAATGTATGTGGATTAGGAAAGAAAAGAGCAGAATGCAACATGGATCTAACAGATAAAAAGTGTTCATATCAGAATACTCTATCAACAAAGATGGTAACTGAATGACCTTCATAGAGTAACTAATATGGCGTCAAGAATAGTAGTTCTTTTATGCCTTCTGCAGCTTTGTTGACTACATTCGTATAACGCTGCTAAAAGCTTTAGAATTATACTTAATCAATCTGTAAAAGACAGTCCTAGAAAATTACAGTGTGCTCTTTGTTCTGACTACATAGTCAGGAAAAATACTCATTAGGTTGTCTACCTTATATCAGAATCCAGACTATCACATTCAGAATCTTTAGTTGTTATTTTCAGTTCTGCAAAGAATTGTTTGTCCAAGTACAATACATCTGAATAATTACAGTATGTAGAAACACGAGGAATAAAAAAGCAGAGCTAGGTAACAGATTTCCATGTACTCTGCACTGGTGGTAAGGAACAATTATTTTTGTACATAAATGAATCCAGTTAATTTCCACTTTCAAAAAAGGGGAAATATATAGAACATTGATAATTTTGTCTTGCATAAAATTGGTGGCCCTTAATATTATAATATAATCAGATGAACATTTAATTTGATGTTCAAATAAATTCTGTATATTATACATTCAGAAATATACACAGAAAAACACCTACACTACTATTCAACAAATCCTTTGGAAAAATTAATTAAATGAAAGTGACAACTGTTGCTGTCACAAAACAATTAGTTACCAATAAATATATCATCACTTAAGAATCAGTCATATGCCTAGGTTATACATTAATCTCTTAAATTAGGTTTCTGGTGAAAGTTTGGATTTTTTGCCTAAAATCTTACTGAATTTGGCATGAGCCAGTCAGATGTAAGCCTACATATAGGACAACCTATTTTGAGTTACTCCAGACTACTACTTGCTGGAGTAGCAATCAGATCTACATTTTTGTCATGGAACCGTTAGATACACACTTAGATTTCATAGGAACACAACATCTATTATATATAAATTCATCTTTGTATATGCTTACCACAATATATAGCACCTGTATATATTCTGTGATGGCATATGGGAGGAATGGCATATGGAAGGAAATACACATCGAATAAGTGTAAAATGAAGCAGCGTCAGGATGTTAAGTAAGATACTTTTGTAAGCTGAAAATACACAAATAAGGTTGTGTATCTCTCAATATCTCAGCAGGCAATTTCTTTTGTTTTGCCAAATACTTAAATGTTATCTCCTTTTCCAAACTGAGAAGGGCTCTAACATTAGCTCAGTTCAATGTTTTATTGTCGGCTGTTTCAGAAGACATACACTAAAAAATACTTCATTATGCCAAGGAAATTTATGCTTCTCTTTTGATCAGAAGTAGCAGTTTTAGATTTAGTATTTTAGTGTTACTACTATTTCTACTTCTATTTTACACTCACAGTTTTACTTAAATTACTTTTTGTTACTCTTTTACCAAAGAAGTCACTTGAAATGATATTTGCTGCTTTGTTTTTTTTAACTCTTTTGTTTGAATGTGTTCGTTTTATGCCGGTTATTGACTGAACTAAAAATTGATTACTGTACAGTGCAATCCGTGTGTGTGTGTGTGTGTGTGTGTGTGTGTATGAGAGAGAGAGAGAGAGAGAGAGAGAAAGAGAGAGAGAGAGAGAGAGAGAGAGATTCAAGTGCTAAAACCAAACGATTTACTCTTTAGAAGCTTAGAATATTATGAGGGCAAAGTTACACATTTAAGTATAAAACAATCCTTAATACTAAAAGTAAGTTTTAAAGAAAACAAGCAAAACAAAACAGTTTAATTCAGATGATCATGCATTACATATATATGATATGATGATACCTGTAACTGCTGGGAACTGTCATTAAGATTGTCTTCCCGTCTCCTTGCTTCTTCCAACATTTGTGCACTCTTTTTCTTCTCCACCTGTTCTTTATGTTTTAAATTTGCTACCTTCTTATTCTGATCTTTAATTTGCCTACAAATAGGAAATAAAATATTCAAACACTTGTGCAATCCACATATATTTGAAAATAGCAAGTAGTGTAAGAGAATTTTACAGGTAACTTAAATAATATTTGATTCTCCAGTTTTAGAAATAACTAACAGTTCCTTCTGCTAACTTATTTCTAGAAGTAACCAAGTCTAATAAATTAAACCACTCTGATTATAAACAACATACATGGGATTTGTCCTATAACTGAAAATAATTTGCTTGTTTTTTATTCCCACTTGAACGTACAGATTCTGGTCCCTGAAATGCAAACTTGCAATTGTTTGCAATTCCATGAAGGTTGGAAATTCATAGTTTATAGATTTTGACCAAACAGCAGCTGTCCAGATTGTAATTCCAACAAATACAAACAGATCATCCCTGCAATCTACATGCATGCATACATAAAACATTATACAATTAATTCATATTCAAGATTCCAAGCTAGAAATTTCTTTAATATGCAAAAAGGCTATAATTTCCCTCATTATGATAGACACTAAGAATGACTACAATACTACATTAATAATTTACTTGAAAACCACTAGTGATTTAATAAAAAGAAAATCCTACTTAGTTATCAATTTTTTTTAAAGGAAAAAAAGGAGTCCATGGTTTATTTATATGGAACCTCTAAAATATATTCCAGAAGGGATGCTAATTAGGAAAGCTATTCATTGAAGAAATCTGTACTTTGTCAACACTCCAAGCAAAGTAAAATTTTGTAGAACTGGTTACTTATGACCACAAAGTATGGGAAAAAAAGATCCTTCTCCCAACTGCACATCTTTCTGGATATCCATAGTGCTTGGATATTGTGTCCAAGTACAATTTTGGCAAAGATTGCACTGAAGGAAATCCAGAGGGTTGTCACAGCTGTGTCTAAACATCTCCCTTAATGTGACTTGGACACTGCTAATTTTCTAGATCACAGCAAATCCTTATGGTGGTTACAACTCTTTAAAGAACTGCTACAATGATAACTCTTGTCCCCAAAACAGGAACTGATCTCTCCTGCAACTGGTAATTATTCAGCAAAAGGCCACTGCTCTAAAGGCATCAAGAGTGCGCGAATACTGCTCCAAGCTATAGGATGTGAGTCTGTATGTGGGTGGAATGTCCTGGCTCAGACGAAAGAGAGACAGTCTGTGGTAGAAATGAGATCTCAGGAGGCAAAATTAGCTTGCCTTCATGCATGACATTGAATAATATGCTAGCCAGCTCAACTGGCCACCAAAATTAAAAAGGCAGTTTCCCGAGACAGCAAACGCTTGTGACCTTGTCTGAGGGTAATTCTTTAAATGAGGATTAGGCAATGCCATCAAGCTTTCTCCATCTGGGTGAGCACCAGAACCAGAATTACTCTCCACAAGAACTTTCTCTCCAGGAATCTGATCTTCGCTGCCATGGTAGTATGGAAGCTATTCACCATTTTGATGAGCTAAATATGGGAATGTAGAGAGGCACTGAAGCACTCACTTGTAAAGGAGAACAACTTAAAAATAAGGCAGCTGAAGATGTCTGGATGTCCTAGCCTCACAAGCAGCTTTTATCTGGGCTACAGTCATATTAAAATTATATAAGGTTTATTTTTAAACTGTGAATTCAATCCAAGTTTCATTCAAACAGAAACAACCTTACTGGGAGTACAGCATCTAAAGCAGTGAGTAAGAGAGAGAACCAGAAACAACCTGAGTCAAGTTGCTGAAAGGTTCTACAAATAGATTGGACAATCACAGAGGCCTTCATGGACCAACAACTTCTCAGAATGCTTCTGAAATACCAGGAGACTTTTACACTCTTCAGACGTAAATCCTAACTAGTCCTGTCATTTCCCACTATTTCTTGGTATAGCCAAATGTTCTTATGCCTGTCTGTTTATGTTCTATTTTCAGATGCAAAGTTCTCAAGAATTGGGTGGAGGAGGCTCACGGTCTGGAAGGGCCCAGAGCAGGAGTGGTACAGCTGGTTGCTGGCTTAGCATCACTGGTGTGGCTGGCAACACAAAAGAGATTACTGAAATGTGTCTTCCTAATCATCTTCCATATCTGAAGACCACACTTCGACACTGGGTAGCTTTGCAGTCAAATTAGGTTTAACAGGCATGGCATAACCGGACAAAATTTGTTGAATATCAACTGAGGAAGAGTGGGAAATTACAGCTTTTAATTTAAAATGTTCTGCTTGAGAGTAGTTCATTATTGGAAACAATGTGTATTATTTTCAAGCTTATTTTGCTTTGAACTCTCAGCTGGTTGACTAACTGCCTGATCTACAGCACATTCAGGAAATATTCAGACCTTCTTCACTTTTGCCCATTTTGTTATGTGGCAGCCTGATTCTACAGTTGTTGAAATTCATTTTTCTCTCTCCCTAATCTACACTCAGTATCCCATAATGACAATGTGAAAACATAATATTAGAAATGCAGACTCACTAAGGAAATAGGGTGACTTTTGTGTTCTCAAGAGGAAAAACAATGATCTTATAAATGGGGACACCGAGACCGACAAAGAGAAACTGAGAAACTTCTTAGTTGTCTGTTCCCAGAGAACTGTTCTCAGGTGGAAAAACTAATTAATCTGGCCTGCTTAGTGACCATCTGACAGTGCATATATATATATATGTATACACACACACACACACACACACACACACACACACATATATGTTTTCTGAGGTTCTCGCGGGTATTTGTATGTGGATCTTTGGTTGTTCGGGTTTTCTCCCGCGTAAGATTCGAAGTATCTAGGCAACGTTTCGATGAAGTCTCATTCATCATCTTCAGGCTTCTGTCTCCGGCTCTGTGCTTCTCAGAGTAATGTGAGATTTCAGCTGCTTCCTCCTTTTAACTGCCAGTGGGGGTGGGACTTGATTGGGTGGGGGCTTGGCTGTGTTCTGATTGGGTGGGGGTGTGTTCTCATTGGTAGGGGGTTTGGCTGTGTTCTGATTGGTTGGGGGGTTAGCCGTGTTCTGATTGGTTGGAGGCGTGTTCTGTTCAGGTGGGGGCTTGGTTGTGCTCAGGTTAGTCTTAGTTGCTGGGGGATTTGAGCTGGTGAGTTGTGATCTTGCTGTTTGGCTTCGAGTTCGTGGTCGTGCTGCATCTTCATAGTGGGTGTCGGTTTGCTTCATGTATGGCTCGGAGGGGTTTGAAGTGGGTAGTGATGCAGCTGCAGTGCAGCTTCTGGTCCATGGTCGTGTCTCATCTTCTGAGTGGGTGTGAGTCTGTTTTCTACATGGAAGTGTGGTGGTGGCATCTTGTGTGGCTCTCATGGGTGTGGGTCTGGTGTCCTTCTTCATGTTAGGTACTCGTCTGTTCATGAGGGCGGGTTTCCAAATGGCTGGAAGGCGGGAGGTGTCATCTCGTTTGTTCATGCTGTGTGGGCGTTTTTCTATCTCTATGGCTTCTCTGATTATTCTGCTGTTGAAGTGTTCGGTTTTGGCGATGGTTCTGGTATTTTTAAAATCAATTTCATGTCCTGTGGCTTTGAAACCCCCTACCAATGAGAACACACCCCCACCCAATCAGAACACAGCCAAGCCCCCACCCAATCAAGTCCCACCCCCACTGGCAGTTAAAAGGAGGAAGCAGCTGCAATCTCACATTACTCTGAGAAGCACAGAGCCGGAGACAGAAGCCTGAAGATGATGAATGAGACTTCATCGAAACGTTGCCTAGATACTTCGAATCTTACGCGGGAGAAAACCCGAACAACCAAAGATATCTCTCTCTCTCTCTCTCTCTCTCTCTCTCTCTCTCTCTATATATATATATATCTCTATATATATATATATATATATATATATATATATATATATATATATATAGTATGCTAATCTATATATTATATATATAGTATGCTAATCTTCAAGAAAGAATAGGTATTTTTTTTAATTTTAATTTTTAAAAATCTTTGCTACCAGAGGGACAGAAATCACCTCAGAATACCGGCACTTGCATGAGGGGGTGCTTCAAGAATTTTGAATGGCCCAACTCCTCACTGAGCATAATAAATATGTGAAATGAAAAAGAAAACTCTTCCATGAAGTGAAGAGTTAATATAGAAATGGATAAAAAGCCCCATCAATAAAAGAAAATAATTTGGAGATATTTCTCCAAGCACAGTGCTGCTACTTTTGAACAAGAACGAGAGTAATTGGAGACATACTACTAACACGAGCACTGCATATATTGCAGTGCATATGTATTTCCCCCCCTCCCAAAAACCCACTTGTATTACACTAAATCTCTGATGAAAAACTAAATGATTCTGTTGAATCTAATTATATTGAATTCTAGCTCAGATGCTTTAAATTCTTTTAAAAATATGGCCATTTCTTCAGAAAGCTTTAAGTTGAACTATGGAAGTTGTGCATCCCTTCACAATAGAAAAAGGAGAGCTTAAATATTGATCAAAGACAAGTTTTTTAAAAAATCTATGCACTTGGGAGGTAGACCGTCTAATGACCTGTCAGGAAACAGCAATTTATTTTCTGTGTTGTGTATCCTTACAGAACAATAGGTTAAAAGGGGAAAGAGAAATGAATAGAAGTTCTTCATGAACAAAGCTCCTATATCACAAATTACAGAACCCTTTAATCTTCACAATCCATTAGCAGCTGCGCTAAAAAGAGAGAGAGAGAGAGACAGGGAAAGAGAAAGAAACAAACTCTAATCCTAGACAGGGAAATACCTTAAATCTAAACATGTATTTATGGAATCAAATTCCAATGTTATATTGTACTCTTTTGTGTTCTACCAGCAAAGGAAAAAAATATTAAACCTGGGCCTCAAAATATAATTCTTGGATTTTAGATGAGAATTTACATGATTGAAAGATCTTTTAGGCACACCCCAAACAAGAAGTTACAGAAGTTACCTTCTTGTACTCTGTTTCAATTAAGGTTATAGGATTCCCAACTGAGGAAAACCTCATAAACTTTGTTTGAAAAGAGCAAATAAAACTGATCATAATAGGTCTCCA